CATTACATCTTCAAATTTGTTGCATTTCAGACTTGTTTTCTTTGAATGTCATCTAAAAAACAGAGGTTCCCCCAAAAATAGAATGTACACCCTTGATGCTACGCTATGCTAATAGCCTCATTAAAAATGTATTCATCTGCAATTATAATCAAGAAGGCTAATAGCATCAGCCCTTTTTCTTAAATGTGGCAGAAAAAGACTAGTCCCTCGAAGGACGAAGCATGTCCTTGTGTTTGAGAGGAGTGTGCTAGCCTGGCATGTGACGGCACCGTGCAGTGTCAGCCGCTAGTGCCGGCGTGTGCCTCCTAGTTGTGATCTTTGGCAGCTTTTGGGTTGGTGGGATTTCTTGCTGACAGCAGCAGTCACTTAATGCTATGCTAATGCTCTAACAGGCTAATGCGGTGACTGCTACAGTCCGTCAAGGTATACAATGATGAAATGTTCCTTCGAGAACAAACAGCTGTGTTCCTGCTATGGATGAAAGATAGCTTACTGTGCTTTAAACCATTGAGAAGTTACATAAGAAATATGACGGTTCGCAGGAACCAACTTCCTACTTGGAATAGTGAAGAGAACACCTGTATAATCCTGTTTGACTAACAATTATATGTAAAACACAGCAAATTATCCTGTTCATCATTCACCTGAAGAACACAAGCTAACGTTAGCATAGCATTGTTTACCCTTAGCAATTTGACCCAAGCTATTTTTTTTTTTGTATCTATATAAATAAGTTTTTAAGCATCAGGCAATGGAAACCTTTAAAACGCCTGAGATAAACAGGAACATGTCACATCTGACTTTGAATACAATTTAACATAAGGTGGTGGGGAATGCTAAAGTTAATTTAAATGTAAATTGAGGCATAATCACATAATCTCCTTCACATAACCTCGATTAGTCTCAAAATATCTTCTGATTCACAACCAAAGGTTCCCAAATGCTGTTTAACATATAGTTAATCTGTAATAAATTATCCTGTTTAGGGCTGGGGTAAACGATTATTAACTAAACGATTAGATGGGCGATTTTTTTATCGATTAGCTAGTCGACTAATCTAACGACTAATTGGACGACTTATATAAAGAATATTTTTCTGCTGCTCGATTAATAAAAAAACATACTGTGTCTCAAATACTATACTAGCGTACTGAATCACGCTACTATAAGCACGATACTATCACGAACTACAAACACTGTTTATCATAGAGATTGTATAAATACTAATATCAGCTAAGTTACGAGGGAAACGGAGGCGGAGTTAGTGGTGCGATCGGAGGCTGGAGATGATTCGGGAGAGGTCTGTGGACGCCTTTTTTTTAATAACAGCGCGCGCGGCGCCACGTCCGAGAATGAACGACTTCAAGCCGAATCTGCCTGTGCTTGTACGTCTCACTGCACCGGCACCCAGTTTGCGCGTCTAAATTGCAAAGTTTTTTTTTTTTTTTTTATTCATTTAATGGAAAGCACATTCCCTTCTAGTTGTCTTTGTCCTCTACTCTGCAATATTTCGCTCTCCCACATGTGTGTGCCAAGCTGTACTGGCGGGAACGTGCAAAAAATAAATAAATAAAGAAGTGTCGATGCAAAAATATGACGTGGACGTAATTTTTTTTGACGTTGAAGCGTCGACGTCATCGACGCGCCACTACAGCACTAAATCACACACCTGCGGAACAGGTGTTAATGCTAACGCTAGCTGCTAACGCAGTTTGACAAAAAGCTAATGCTTGCATTGACATTTTGTGTTTATATAGATAATTTTTCAAGCATCAGGCAATGGAACATATCAAAAGTCAGACATAAATAGAAATATCCCACATCTGACTGAATTAATTTAGTATAAAGTGGTGAGAAATGCTAAAGCCAATTTAATGTAGACAATTGAGGCATAATCAAAGTAAATAAAGTACATGACCTCTTTCATACTTTTCAGTCGTGACCATAAATCCGTCGTAAGCCCTGATTTTAGAAAGCAGGAATCTAAATGCTAAATGGAAACATCTAATTAACAACAATCACAGGTAGTAAGAATAACAAATTTAAAAAAATACATACATCAACTTATGATAAAAAAAAACGCTTTTGTTTTCGATGTTGAAGGTGCATTGCGAAACATTTCATGTTAAAAATACCCGTTTTTCTAACCCATATATGCTTAAACAACAGCCTGATGGGCTGATTGAGCCCTTCTCTACTCATTGCGATTGCCTCTATATTCCTGTACAATAAAATAAATGAGAGGAATTCGGGACGGAATTTGAGACTGGGCGTAACGTCATGCGCGTACGCGCTCACCTGGCTATGTGTGGGGGGTTTGTGTATTCGCCGCCATTCTCCGTGTCAGCGAAGACAACTCGAGCGACACAACTTTAGTCAACTTTTGAAAAAAGTATAAGATGGATTCAAAGACATCGGCTTGTAGTTCATTCCAAACCCCAACGCAAACTCCACGTAAGACAAAGAAAATAAAACTTTTGTCTAGTGCCAGGCGTCCGAATAAGACGAAAGAAAATTTAGAGACTTGCACAATGCACCTTTAAAAGTTATTTGCATTCAGTCAAACTTAGCCGTTTTGCCTTTTTTTTTTTTTGTATAACTATGAACAATTTTATAATACATTATAAATACAACCAAATACATTTTCATTAATTAGGGCCCAAGCCCTGAAAGGGCGAAGGCCCTATTGTTTTCCTTAGGATTATTATTATTATTATTAGGGCCCAAGCCCTGAAAGGGCGAAGGCCCTATTGTTTTCCTAAGGATTATTTATTATTATTATTTTGTAACCTTTTGGGCATTTTTGGGGCCCTTAACGTGCTCGAAAACTCTTGAAACTTTGCACATGGGTCAGAACCCGCGGCCATCAGAGCCGGGCTGAAGCTGGTACCCGGGCGTGGCAGGGCGGCTCGTCAGCGCCCCCTGGAACGGGGTCCGAACACTTGGTCCATAACTCAAACACGTTTGTATATAATAATATGAAACTCGGTGCACATGTTGATCTCATAGTTTCATCTATACCTCGCGCTTTTACTTTTTACCCCAGCCCAACAGGAAGTCGGCTATTGAGGTTTGTTTGTAAAACGCTCGCAATGGAATGTTAAATACTCCTCCTAGAGCTTTGATCCAAATTCGACAAAACTCGGTCAGCATGAAGTCAAGACATTGAGGATGAAAGTTTGCGAGGGGATTTTTTATATCTCGAACGGTTTGGCCGTGGCGAGGAAACGAAATCATGGCGAGAAACGTGAAACAGGAAGTGTGTTATAACTTCAGCATACATTAACTGATCTTGATGAAACTTCAGCAGTGTGTTCGCTGTAAGAGGACGATCACATAGATGTGACTATTGTGAGTCAAAGTTATAGCGCCACCAACTGGCAGCAGGAAGTGTGTCACTTTCAAAATGCTTTGATATCACCCTTTTATTTTTACCCGATTTGCTTCAAACGTCATCTGTATAATGTAAACATACGGCAGATGTAGACCTGTGAATGGATTCTTGATATCTTTGAAACTGTTGCCGTGGCGACGCATCAAACGTTACCATTCTTTTAGGATGCTTTTGAGACCCTTAGCATGCTTGAAATTGCATGAAACTCGACAGACACATCACATTTATTAGCCAGTAGACACATGCAAAGTTTCAGAAACGGGCGTGGTGAGGGCTCAGTAGCGCCACCTTTTGACAAAAGTGGGGTTGTTAGTTTTATCTACAGTTACAAAAATCGGTATGTATATTGTACTCCTCGAGCCGGACAACTTTCTAATTGACACTCATTAGCTAGGACCCACAGAAAGTCAGATATGTTTGTTTGAATGTGGTCTTGCTCAATCTGAGCCTACATCTCTCTTTGCCTGTCTGTGTATGTGTGTGTGTTTGTAGGGGGAGGGGTCTTAACCATTTCACTCCTGTGTGTATGGCCTGCATAAAAAATAAATGCCTTAAGCCTGGTATTTTTTAAATAAGTTTTTTATTTTTTATAAGTAAAGGCATATAACCAGTTTAATTGTAGTGCATTAATAGTTTTATATAATTAGTTTATTAATTAAATTAACTTGGTCCATAAACTTGATCTGAAAATTTGGTCCATAAATCAAACACACTTGCATGTAATAATATGACTTGAGTGTTAATCACATCATGTTTTCAGTTTGAATATAAAATATATAAATTATGTAAAAAAAATAAAGTTGATCCAGCTGGAGCGCAGGCTGAGAATAGCGCTGTCATGACTGGAACAGAGATCATCAGTCATGCCCTCTCATACCTTACGCGCACACCACGCCCACTTACATCAGATCACATCAACATGTCAGCCGGAGGGATACCGACACTGCGTCAAAAGGTGTGTATACGGGAGAATTCGGACAATGAAAACGCCCGCTAAATGTGCTGTTTGGCAGGGATCTTTGGAACTTTGTTATGCGTACCTGTAAATGCCTGTAAAGGCCCGAAAACAGGAACTTGTCTGACCACATGCTGTTAGTTGATGGCTTGGCTTTTTAAATGCTAATTTGTTTTGGGACTGGCTCAAGTTTGCCCCTATTCCCCTGCCCCCCTCATTAGTATTCAGGAAAGGTGATAGGGTTTACATTGTGTCAATCTTCAACAAGTGTTACGGAGAGCAGAGTGGAGATGTTACTCCTTTACATAGGGACAAAATGGCTATTAAATCTCTGAGTCCGAACGAAAACAGCCTGGTGTACAGACTGGTGTATATGGCAAATGAAAGTTTGAAGAGGATATTTGAAAAGCTGGAGATGATGGACATGAGGTTGGATAAGATGGAGGCTGACATCAATGAGCTCAAAGAGGCAAAAGAGGAGCCTGCTTCAAAGAAATTAAAGAGAGCTGGGAATAATTCTGTTGCGGTAAGTTATTTTCTGACCATCACAGTGTCTGCTTAACTTTGTGTGCTTTATTTATAAATCTATTCGAATTGAGCCCTCATACTATGTCGGATTTTTACAGGAAGCTGTATGGAGATTGCACAATTGGGAAAACAACATACACAAATATGACCCACAGACAAGGTATATCTTTAAAACTATGCTTTCATAACAGTCTTTTCTTCTAAATTATATTTTTAATCAAGCTTCTTTAATTACTGCTTCACAGTCTATCCTCCCCCCACAACCTCGAGGTCATAATCTTTCTAATGGCTGTACCGGACGTAGATCCTGCTGTTGTTAAAGGTAAGTCACAAGAGAATGTACCAAGGCTACAACTATTTAACTGTATAGATTAGTTAGTTACAAATAAACATATTCTCCCCCTCTCTATCTCCATCTCTCTAGCATCCTGCAGCATCCTGTTAGAAGGGGTTACAGGATGGCCCAAGATGATAACAAAGACAAGATGGAGGACAGCAGGATCATTATGCTCATGAGACAAAGAAAAAGAAGAGTAAGTATAAATACATATAAATCTGAGTAAAAGCCTCAGCCTGGGAGAGGCTCCCATCCCAACACATTTGATATTTTCAGTGGTTTAATTACTTTTTTCCCTCCCATTTTGCAGCTACTGAGCTGCAGGACTGGGGTTCCCCAGACAGAGGAAGAGGCAGCTATCTGGAAGACTGCAACAGTTGACCACATGTCTGAAGAGTAGGATGCCATATTGGATGGAAAGTCGGTGTGGGTTGTTCGGGTTATTATATTGTTTTACATATATTATACACAGGCCTTATATATTATATGGGGTTATTTATTGTATGACTAATAGTAAAATGTATTCTGTGCTAATGTTTTTTTATTTATTTATAGAGTTATGACTGTGTGTATATAAATATATATGTCATGTGCCCAGTGTCATTTACAAATAATAAAAATAACAAACTCAACTTTGTCTATCTGATTGTCTTGACATTATAACCATGAACACCAATGACAATGAATATTAATAATGAGTAATAATAAATCCAAATGAGGCCATAAACTGGACAAATAGTGTGGGGGTTTAGAAGAGGGACAAAGCATTGAGCACCCAATCCTATGTAAGATCTCTGACCAATTGAAGGAGGCACTGCCTTGTGTCCCAAAGGTGTGAAATGCTAATGTTCCCTTGCATTGACCCCGACCTGGGGATTATTCACCATGGTAACTGATGGCCCTAGTGGCTCCCTGCTGTGCCCCAAACTTGGTACATATCCAGGAGTTTTCGGGATTGTGTGACGGGACAGCAAACTCCCGTATACACACGTTTATTTGTGGAGTACACAGGAGTACTCAGGAGTTTTACATGCCCGATTACAGCTCTTTTCACGCAGTGCGAGGGTCGCTTTCGGATTCAAGAATTTCTTACAACAAGATGGCAAAAGAACAGCGCTTTGCAAGACATGCAACGTTAAGATCGCGGACAGTCAGATGACAACCTCCAATTTCGTCCGTCATTTAAAGAGCCATTCTCAGTAAGTGCTTGTCAATTTGTTAATGTTATCTGGTTAGCTCGTTCGTAGTTAGCTAGCTAATGTAAGTTAAAGGAGAACTCCGGCGCAAAATTACACATTGTTACCGAGTCAACCGTTATCTGAGATTTGTTTTCATGACTGCCGAATGTAAATAGTTTTATCTATAAAAACAGTTTAGCCTATAAGTGACGTCCGACATTCTGCATATTGTGTTATTTTGTTAAGCCCCACTAAAGGCATAAAAAACTGTAAAGCACAATCAAGTTTTCACACTATATTCCAAGACTTCTAAAGTCATTCAATAGCTTAATGTGTGGTAAAATTAATATTTTAGTCTCTAAGTTAAAGTTAACGGAAAGTCATCTCGCCTCAGTCATTCTCCATGCATCAGCATTAGCGGCGTCGCGTTCGGTTGCGACACGACGACACTCTCTTCAAGATCAATGTTCCCAATATTATACTTTATTTGTAGATAAGGCATAAAGGTCTATGATTTGCATAAAATGACTATCTTGCTGGAGTGGAGTTTATTGCCCTTTAGAATACACTAAGCATTAGTGCTGCACGATTAATTATATCGCAGTCGTAATAGCGATCTCAAACCTATGCAATTATATAACGCAAAATGCCGCGATTTTATATGAAATAAACAAAGTAGGGCTATTAGCGCAGCATCTCTTCTTTTTTGTCATCCTTTGACTAGTGTTACAAGATCCCCCTCTTATTGGTTCAAATGCCTTTTCGCATTTTGCACGACAAGAAGTGAAAAGCTGCCTGTGAGTGCCCTAGATTAGATGATACGCATAATGCGCATGCACTGACCGTGTGCCAGCCCAGAATAAACAGTTCTCTTTCGAGCTTGAACGAACAATAGCACACACAATTATGCCAAAATGTGGTTTTGTCTAGTATCTTCATAACATAAGAAAAGTCTATGGATTAAAGGGTTGTGCTATGAGGCGCGTGTGAGATCCGCGTCTCGGCAACGGGTGCTCTTAAAGGGCCAGCAGCGAATAAAGCGTTCTTTCAGTAAAGTTAAAAGAACAAAGGGAAATTAGAAAATTACTCACTGATCTTGAGTAAAGAACTTTTGTAGCTTTAATAAGGATTATTATATATATAATTTATGATTCAGGCAGCGCAGACTGTTTGATAACTTTATTCAATTTCTGTACCTGTTAAGACAGGAAGGGCACAGGTAAATATGTTTTTTATTATGGGTTTATGTGGGGATTGTTTGAAGTTCACTTAATTTAAAAGCTGTTATATATTTTTTTAAGCCTAATAATTTTTTAAAAAGTTGATGGCTTTCAATTGATGGAATCACTGTAATGTTGGTTTGGTTGATGGTTTATTGATCATTATAGGTGTTATCAATCATTTATTGTTGTTGTTGTTGTTTTTAGTTTGAGTTGAGAAATAAACATTAATCTGTGTGTGCATTTTACTTTAGAACCAAGCAAGTTGGACTCATGAAACCATTTTATTATATCGGAGTCGCAAATCGCAATTGCAATATTGGCTCAATAATGGCAATATGACATTTTCCCAAATCGTGCAGCCCTACTAAGCATAGATTATAGATACCATCCCTTCGCTATGTTCTTTTCAATGTGAAGCGTTGCGTGCTGTGACTTGGTGTTGCTTCAAGTGCATCATTCTGCACACGGGATGCGCATGATTGCTTATAATACTTTGGGGAGACAAGGGGCGTGGCCTAAGGGAATATCACTCGTGATGTTAAGTGATGTTACCCCGCCATCGCTGATACAACCTTTAGCAGTCATGTTTTTGCTTCTTGAGAGAGAGAGAAAGTGTGTGTGTGTGTGTGTGTGTGTGAGCAGTGGCGGTTCTAGGCGGGGGCCTGGGGGGCCAGTGCCCCTGCGACAACAAGCTTGGACCCCCTTGTGGCCCCCTAAATGTGGAGTCAGTGTGAAATATTTTTTTTATAGTGTGTCACGCATTGAGCATGACAGTCACTCGTTTCAGTCTTTTGTCTCACACTCCCGTCACACATTGTATTTCTCATGCGGAAAAACTATTAATAATATATTTAATATACGCAATTTCTCTGGCCGCGCCGCTCTCACGTGAGAATCAAGCGCGTCTCGCCTGGAGTTCAGCAGTCGACCCTGCTACGCATCAGCCAATCAAAAAAAGAGAAGTGCTACTTAATAGCCAATCAGAAAAGGGCACTATTGTATCTGGGTAAAATTTAACGCAACAACCAATGAAAAAAAGCATATCCTGGAATTGTTCATATGATTCTGTTACAACATCTTCCGAAAGTTTCTTCACCCGTCCCACAGATGAAACTAATCACTGGAGCTCCGAACATCACTTGGAGCACGGAGTAAGTCATGATCTCCTGTTTTAATGTTACAACAAATTCACAACTTGTTTGACAAAAACTATGACAACTTGACTGATGTAAGATGAATCTTTCCCGTAGCGTAAGCTAGCTTACGCAATGCTCGTTCCCTCATCTAGAGAGAACCGAGGTTACGTTAGGTAATCGATTCGTTTCCCATTTAATTAGTATCAGTCTGTAACTTAGACAACAGTTTTACAGCCTGTTCACTGACAACACCTGCTCAGAACAAGTAGTCTAGGCCTAGTCATCTTATTACACGAATCACGATGACTGACATATTGTCACATTATAAACATCTCTCTCTCCAAATAGGCTTAATAATTTTATTAGCACTAGATAAATTAAAGTGTAATGCATAGTCGATTTTAAAACATCTCTCTCTCCAAATAGGCTTAATAATTTTATTAGCACTAGATAAATTAAAGTGTATTGCATAGTCGATATTATAGGTCACTTTTAAAATCATGTCATATTTTATAATTATATCCTGGCCAAGGATGCATTAATTATTGCTTCTGTCTTTCAAAGATGTCAGGAAAAAAACAATTATAAAAAAGCTCATTCACCCTGAGAGGAAAGCCCCCTAAAAAGGCCAGTTTAGAGGATAATTTGCTGATCTTTTTGCAAAAAAAAAAAAAAAAAAAAAACCCACAAAAATCGTAGATTAATTTGTAAAAATTATATATATATATATATATATATATATATATATATATATATACTACTGTTATTCAATGTACAAAAATAAAATGGAAATTCAAATACAGACTGATATATGTAATGCAAATGTAAAAATATAATGGAAATGCAAATTGTTGGATAATTATAAACATGGTATTTTGCTTATTTATGCATTCAGTGCAGTGCAGAAAATGATAAGGTCTAAATGTAACTGGCCCCTCTAACAGTACAACTGGCCCCAGCTTGGCCCCCCAGTTGAAATGGTCTAGAACCGCCACTGTGTGTGTGTGAGAGAGAGAGAGAGAGAGAGAGAGAGAGAGAGAGAGAGAGAGAGAGAGAGAGAGAATGTAACAAAGTTTAATATTGTTTGTAAACTGTGTTTGAGAGAGAGGAAGGTGTTCAGAGAGTCTGTAGGATGTTAAGCTGTTATTTGTTTTATGGACTCAATGTTGAAAATTTAAAACATTTCAAACACACTGTTGGCAGAAGTGAAAAATAAATAATTTTATGAAGTTACAATTTTGTTTGATTCCATGGTGTATTTTACTGAACATGAGTATTTACAATGCAAATTATTGTAATTTACTGGCAAATACTTATCTTGTCTTTTCATTTTATTAAGATCAGATTCTGCATGTAAAATTAAAATAATAAGGTGACTTGACTTGCACTTGACTTAACCTACTACAAGACTTGACTTGACTTGACATAGCCTGTGACTTGACTTGACTTGCCCCCCCCCCAAAAAAATACTTGGGACTTACTTGAGACTTGACGGTTAAGACTTGAGACTTACTTGAGACTTGCGTGACCTGCGCCCATCTCTGCTCTAAGTTTTAAGACAGTTCAAATGGAAGTTGGGAATTATGTGTTGTTTGAATAAATCTCCTAGGAGAAATACATCAAATTACAACGCATGTGTTTACCAATCACCACCATACTCGGTGTGCATGAAGTCAAGACATTGAGGATGCTCAATTCCGGACGGATTTTTGATATCTCGAACGGTTTGGCCGTGGCGAGGAAAATAATTTTATGACTAAAAAAGGACACATAAAATGTGTTAACTTTGCTCGTTTTACCTACAGTTACAAAACATGCCACGTATATTGTTCTTGTCAAGCCGATCAACTTTCTAATTAACAGTAAGAAGCTCAGACCAAAAGAAAGTCAGATATTGCAGTTTGGATGTGTATCTTGTCTCTATCAGTGTCTGTATGGGGAAGAGGGAGGGGGGGGGGGGGGTTGCTGGTGTCTGCGTTTATGTGTGTGTGTGTGTGGCTGACTGTAGATTTTTTCTGCAAGTCCTTATCTTTTTGCATAACAATTTTGTATTTTTTTAAATGACAAAATATGCATATAACCCTAATCTTTTAAATGTATAGTTTGCTTTAAATAAAAGTAAGATAAATTGGTAAACTACAAATTGGTAATTGAAGCTGAATGAAT